ATTAGTCATATATAAACAACACAATAGTGATGGAATGAAGATGTAACCATCATAATGGATATAAACAACCATAACAATATAGTCCATACATCACGCAGTCGTCTCCCAAACAAGAAATGAACATGACATTAAAAGACAATAGTTATGTAATGGAAGCTTGATGGCCATAATTGATCAAAGTGGCTATAAGTAGGCATATCAGTGGTTAATTTTTCACATACTTACATAGATTGATGTGTTTCTTGTCCTAGACAGTTAGGGTCACATTTACTATACTTTTTTCAAGTACAGGTTAAACCTACTACATAGCCATAGTAAAACTAACCTGGGTCACAATGGATTTCTTCAAAGAGTATTCCTTTTCCTTAATCCCTCTTTCACAATGGTGGGTAAAAGACATACATCTAGCTCTAGTGACGATGATGCTTGGTCCTAAATAATGTAAGTCGCCCAAATGGCAAGTTGGAGCAGAAAATTCCCTCAAATGTAAGCTTCTAGCCAACAAGTTAAAGGAAGTGTTCATGAGCATGTACATGAACATTCCCAGGTTATTTGTGACCAATCATCAAGATTTATTTAGAAAAACTATTCACCAATTATCAACGACCAAGCACTGGAAAGTCTCTACTACCAGTTTTAGGACTTGTTCCTACAAAGGCCTAACAAAGTACGAATTTTCACTACTACGAAAAAGGGTTTTAACAATCGTTGGATTAGGTATATAATTACGCTGGTTCAGGAATTGTTATATAGTGTGTTGTTTTATATGTGTTACTTTCAATCACGGTCTAATAACTGTTGTAAAAAACTGAATAGCGCGCACCCTATAATAACGGTTAAGAGTAATAACCATTGTGATATTGTTTATGAATAAATTTCAAACTCATCATACTAGAATCAGCAATACACCATTTGTAAACTGATATAAAAACCATTGTTACATCAAAATATACGTAAGAAGGAATATCAAAGAATGTAAAATGAAATTTAAAAACATAAGGAGATGTAATCATTCAACCACTCGAGGTAGGCATGAATCTTTCCAACTTCCAAGAGAAGAGAAAGTGTATAGAATTAAAGAACCAATAATGAGCACAATAGCTTGACATGCGTGAAATCTTTCCAACTTCCAAGAGAAGATGAAGAATCAAAAGAAACAATATAAAAGCGGAAGAACACAAAACCAACTTCATCCAAAGGAATTAAAATGAGTTCTCCTACTCAAGCCACCAACAATATTGAGAATCAAGATGTTGTTGATGTAGAGGGTGTTGTGGTGCAAAACCATCCTCAAAATCAAGATGAGGAAAGAAGTCGTTCTTGTGCAACAAAACTGTACTTGAGAGCTCTCAGGATGAGGAGAAGAATAAGAAGAAAAAGAAGGTTGGGAAGAGCGATGATTTTTTCCTCATATAATTATGATGATGCTAACTATGATTAATCAAACTTTCTCTCAACCAGAGGATTTAGATTTGATTAAGTTTATGTAATGAAATGTTATCAACTTAAACTACCAACTTAAATTTATTAACTAATATACTAACAAACAGATAACTAATTGAAAATCCAACAGTTTGCGATAAACTTACTTGTAAGAAACTGTATTTTAGTTGTATTCTTGTCAAGTTCATTGCATCTGTAGTTTCAACATCAATAATGGAATTCAACTATTACATTTCAACTAATATGCTAACAAACAGAAAACCAATTGAAACTTCAACTATTATATTTAATAACAAAGTAAACATTAAATATAAAGGAGACAAGAAAACATAACATCTTCAAATTTCCAGATAATCTCTCTGATTTCAGTTTGTTCTTCAAATTCTTGTTCTTCTTCTTTGAATCTTCATACAAAACCTTTAAAACGGACATCTCCAACTCTGATTTTATAATGCTCTCATCTTAATTTCCACCATTTTCTCCCATGTCTTCATCCTATATGAACAAATTACAGGTTTCATCACTCCTCCAAAATGGACATCTCCAAAAAAGTCTTCCTTTATTTTGTCTCTTCTTGCATTGGTACGAAACTATACGACCATCGCAATCACGAAAATTTCCAGATCGAGATTTTACAGAAGAAAAAGACATAGAAACACCTTTAGATGACTTTGTCTTTAAATGCGAGATTGAAAGAAAACTAAACAACAACAATATATTTTATGTACCGTAAAGGAGAATACTGTGTCAGTGTTATTGTCTTCCTTCTCGATGATGATGACAACGTTAATGTTAGAGTTGTTTCGTCTTTTTTCTTTTTTCAGTGGAAAAATGGATACTTGTAGTGTTTAAAATATATAAAGAAGTGTTTGTGTGTAACAACGGTTTTAAAAAACAATTGTAGTGATATCTCTGTTAATTTTTAGTTACATATAAATAAAAGTGAAAAGGCGCACATTAACGTCAAAGTAATAAATTATTTTAGGGCGATGAGGTTCAAACTCATGAAAGCTTTATTATATCACCTCAGTGTTAACACTAAACGTTAGGGTTGTTCATGGTACAATTTTGTTAGAAAACTGAACCAAATCAAATTGAATCATTATAAAAGGTCATCTGAACCGAACCGAACATTTTCAATTTTTCTAAAACCGAACTAAACCAAAAGTGTTAGTTTGATATAACGGTTCGGAATTCTGAACCGTACCAAACCATTAAAAGACAATTTTTCCAAATCAAACCATTTGTTAAAAAACTGAATCGTTATACTTGATTTTTAATTTTTTTAATAAAAAATCTATTTAAATTTATTTTTAGTATTTTTTATAAACTTTTTTAATATGCTATTTTACCTGGTTTTTTAACTTCAAAAAAATCTTTTTTTCATCTACATTCACAATCTAAATCACAAATAAATTCAAATAAAAATCGCAAACTCATTGAAGAAATCACAAATTTAGTCAACTACTATATATCTAATGTTTAGGGCTGTTTGGATAAATAACTTATTGACAGCTTATAACATAAGTGTTTACAAAAATAAGTACTTATGAATAAGTTTGTATAAGCTATTTTTATAGCAAAGAATAAAATAAATTTAAATGGCTTTATATATATATATATATATATATATATATATATATATATATATATATATATATATATATATATATATATATATATATATATATATATATATATATATATATATATATATATATATATATATATATATATGTTATAAGTTGTTTTCATAAACTATTTCGAAGAACTTATAACAATTAAGCTAAAAAAAGAGTTTTATGAAGTGCTTTACTATATACAATCTCTTGTAACATTTAATATCTTCTTTTTTCCAACATTAATTTACATATCAATAACAAGTGTTTAACATAATAGAAAAATTAGAACCAAAATCAAATAACAAGTGTTTTCTCCTTTTAAGGTGCATGTGTGGTGACAAACCATCTTCTTGATACCAATGGTTATTCCTTGTTGAGTGGTGGTATAAGTGTATAACACCAATTATCACACTTCAATAAATTGCATCCTATTTGAAGTTGTTTATGGACAACTAACCCCTATTATTCAAAGATGTTGCCAATCTCTCACTGTCAAAGATGTTGCAATTTCAATTACTCAAATTTCATTTACTAAGGGCACATAACAGAATGATTCAGCAATGCCTATAAGCATAGTAGTGACATGAATTTTGATTCGGTAACATGATGTATCTCAAATTGCAGCCTTACAGATGATTCACAGTGACAACATAAGTGTTAGATCTAGAGCTTTTATAGTCCAGCTTAGACCATGCTTGGTGGAGTTAATTATTACACACTTACAATATGGGAAGGTTGTATTGACATTGATTTTTGGCCATTGATCCATTGGATTATATTATACACATATATTGATTCATATGGTGAGGAAAGCCAAAGAAGAAACACTCAAGAAAGCATACATAGGTGCTAAAACACAGATCAGAGAAACTCAAATCAGAGGATTTGATTCAAAAAGTTAATGTAATTTGAGGGTTTGGGATCTTCACCAATTTAGGGGTTTAGGGTTCTTGACCATTTTTCAAAAAGAAAGTTCAAATGGTTTAGAATGAGTGTTTAATATTATAAAAAGTTTTTAGAAGTTAGAATTTAGAAATTAAAGTGACAATTGTTCGATTCGGGATCAATTTGAAATTAGTTAATTTAACAGTTCGGTTCTAAAACTATTCATAAAATATATATTTGATTCACTAACTATTAGTAACAGTTCAATTATTTTAATTTCAATTCTATTTGATTCGGTTCAATGATATTTTTAAATAATTCTACTAACTGTTATTATACTCTTAAAATTTTTAATAAAAAAATATAAAAATAAGAGTGAATCACACGCTAGCATGGTTCCAAAAAAAAAAAATTGTTGATTTGAAGTGAAATACAAGTCATCTATTTTAATTGGTGATCCCAAAAAAAAGAACAATAAGCCTTTTGAAATGAGCAAAACATTCAAGGTAAGTGCTCGTTGTTTAGTGGAAGTTGTCCATTTTTTCTTTTTGCATTCAATCTATTTTAATTTTTTTTTCCTCACTATTTTTTCTTCTTGAGAGTTTTGGTTTTGTTTCCCTTACTCTTTGTACCTTTTTTTCTTTCGTTTAATAATATACAATCCAACTTTAGAAAAAAATTACTACACACATTATTTTTTTCATGTTTTAAAAATCAAATCTGTTATTAAATTAATGAGAATATTGGATAAGTGGTTCATTGGTTGAATGACTTGATCATTAACTGAATTACATAATTAAATCGGATAATTCAATTAAATAAATTGATGTCTATAATAAAATTATATAATTATTAAATATGTCGAATCAGATGACAGTGACTCTAAAAAATATCACGACACCTATAAAATAATAATAAAGTAATTTTTCAAGTTCGGCGACAAACGTAAGGAGAAAACGAGCTTCATCGATCCTAATCATCTGCTAATTGATTTTACATCTTCCTCAACTCACCACTCTCACACTAAGCAACCATCCTCAAAATTTCCAAATGTTCCTAAGGAATTTCAAATCCAAACCACCATTCACCTCCATTCTTCCTTCAAATGCCACCCTCCACCGCCTCTTCACCTTCAATCCAAACGACGACGTACACAGAGTCTACACCCTCCTCACAACCACGTCTTCCCCCGAAAACCTCAAACAATCCCTAAAATCCACCGGAATCTTTCTCTCAAACGAACTAATCGACCAAGTCCTCAAAAGGGTTCGCTTTGGCCACGCAAACCCCTCTCAAACCCTCGAATTCTTCAGGTACACCGGGAGACGAAAAGGGTTTTACCACACCGCTTTTTCCTTCGACACCATGCTCTATATCCTCGGTAGAAGCCGCATGTTCGATAACGTTTGGGATCTTTTAATCGAAACAAAGCGAAAGGATCAAACTGTTATAACCCCTCGAACTGTTATGATTGTGCTGGGTAGAATCGCCAAAGTTTGCTCTGTTAGACAAATTGTTGAATCGTTTAGAAAGTTCAAGAAGATTGTACCGGATTATGATACTAGTTGTTTTAATGCATTGTTGAGGACGTTGTGTCAAGAGAAAAGTATGACGGATGCGAGAAATGTTTATCATAGTTTGAAGCATAGTTTTCGCCCGAATTTGCAAACTTTTAACATTCTTCTTTCTGGGTGGAAGAGTTGTGAAGATGCTGAGATGTTTCTCAGTGAGATGAAGGAAAGGGGGGTTACACCGGATGTTGTTACGTATAATAGTTTGGTGGATGTTTATTGCAAAGGGAGGAAGATTGACAAGGCGTATAAGGTGCTCGATGAAATGCGTGAACAGGATTTGTCCCCGGATGTGATTACTTATACTAGTATTATTGGTGGGTTGGGGTTGATTGGTCAGCCGGATAAAGGTAGAGATGTTTTGAAGGAAATGAAGGAGTATGGTGTTTACCCAGATGTTCCGGCGTACAATGCTGCTATTAGGAACTTTTGTATTGCGAAGAGGCTTGGTAATGCTTATGATTTGGTGGATGAGATGACGAAGAAAGGTTTGAGTCCTAATGCGACTACTTATAACTTGTTCTTCCGGGTTTTTTATTGGTCGTATGATTTAGAGAGTTCGTGGAACTTGTACAAGAGGATGATGGTTGAAGGGTGTCATCCGAATACGCAGTCTTGTATGTTCTTGATAAGGTTGTTTAAGAGGCATGAAAAAGTGGAGATGGCGTTGGAGTTATGGGGTGACATGGTGGAGAAGGGTTTTGGGTCGTGTACATTGGTTTCTGATGTGCTGTTTGACATGCTTTGTGATATGGGGAAGTTGGTGGAGGCAGAGAAATGTTTCTTGGAGATGATTGAGAAGGGGCAGAAGCCAAGTAATGTTTCATTTAAGAGAATCAAGGTTCTTATGGAATTAGCAAATAGACATGAGGCCATTCAGAACTTGGCGCAGAAAATGGGCGTGTTTGGGAGACCGACACAAGTTCGCGAAAGAGTTATGACACCAGTAGCGGAAATGAGGGGATTGGACATCTAACCAAATATCTTAATTGAGCTAAACCATGTCAGCCAAATAGATGGAATCTTGAATCTTTGATAGAGGGGCGAGTGTCAAAGGAAAGAGTGAGAAGAGACACAAGAAATAGGCTCTTTGATTTTGTACACTAGTTGTCATACATTTTGCACAATAGATCTGAATTCTGGAAACTCATGCTCTAACTTATGACATGTTGATCGTCAATCATGCCTTGGAGATCAAGAAATAAAGAGACCTTTCTACTTCATTTCTTATTATTCTTTTGACCTTATGTCATTGTTTTTTCCATTCAAATTGTTTCTGAAGTTATTTACAGATTGTATGAATTTCGGTTCTGAAGACTCGGTTATCCTTTATTGGAGAACAACATAAGTAAAGAATGTTGCTATGGTCATATAACCTGCAAAATCATGTAATGTCTCTCCGGTTGAAGACCTTATTGGTTTGCCCAATCAAAAATAAATCAAGTGATGTTATAACGAGGGGTATATATAAATAGAGTTAAAAAGGTAATACAATTACTTATAAAATAATTTTACAATGTCATCTAATAGAAATTTAATTGAATATATGGTTGTGATTGATTGACACTGTAATAATTACACTGTTAGTGTATTAACTATTTTCTACTATTTTCTCATATAAATATACTAATATTTATTTTAATATTTTTTTTATTTAAATTTGTTTCTTAAAAATATATTTTATTTTTGGTCTTTGTTATTTTGTTTTATAGTTTTTGTTAAATTAATTTATATTAAAGTTGATTGGTGTAATATGAATGTAAAATTGAAATTGAGACAAATTTCAATATATACTAATTTTGAATGAATTAAAATAAAAGAATAATTATCAAAGCCAAAATAATACATATTTGTAAGGATTAAAACAAAACAAACAAAACTACAAGGACAAAATTTAAACCATAATATATTTGTAGAGATTAAATACACATTCAAACCTTTTTTTATTGAAAAGAACAAAGGCTCAAATGCTAAAAGATTTTTTCCCCTGCTCCGAATGCCATTATCATGTTTGTCTATAATATATTAAGCCAATTTAATATATATATATATATATATATATATATATATATATATATATATATATATATATATATATATATATATATATATATATATATATATATATATATATATATATATATATATATATATATATATCCTTTTTTTATAAGAAAAAAAACTTTATCCTTTCAATCCTAAGAGAGGATTAACGAGTATACATGTTTGGTTTCACTTTTGTAAGATTTAGAATCAATTTTGGAGATGTAGAATTGATTTTTTCTTTAGAATTGATTCTATTTGAAGCTAGAATTTGCAGCTTATGTTTTAAGAATTGATTCTGCGTGATTTTTACACTGGAATTTATTATTCAACTCACTTTATATAAATGTATCCAAACATATGTCAATTATGCTAAACTCAATTATTTTAAAATCAATTCTACCAAACTTAATTTTGTTAGAATCAATTCTATCAAGTGCTAATCCAAACATAGCATAAGATTTATTTATTTATTCGTCAAGCGGCCCTTTTGTAACAACGTGCGTTTTATAGAGGGGTTATGTAATTGTCTTAACAATTTTGTATTCCTTTGTCCTAAACCGATCTTTTAATTAAATGAGTTATTTGTATACTCATAACTTATCTTTGTGATATGCCTCGCGTTAGAGCATTAGTTGTTATTTTTTGGAAATGAGGGTTTTCACCTAAAATATCAATAGTGTTCCAAGGGCGATAAGGATTCTCATACTGGGATCCATCATTTGAGGGGTGACAAAGTCTCTTTTGTGAGTAAGCAATGTATGAATTTGCTTTGAGGGGCGACAAAAAATCCTTCATGAGGATCCAACATATGTAATCTCCTCGAGTGGCGACAAAGACTCCTTCATGATGATCAAACATATGTAATCTCCTTGAGGGGCGACAAAGACTCCTTCATGAAAATCCAACATATGTAATCACATCAACGGGTGACAAGGATTCTTTCGTGATGATCCAACATATGTAATCGCCTCGAAGGACGACAAGGAGTCTTTTGGGAGGATCCAACTTGTTTAATAACCTTAAGGGGCTACAAGGATTCCCGTATAAAGGTCCAACATATTTGATAGACCTAAGGGGCGGCAATGACTACTTGTAAGTGTCTAACATATTTGATCATCTTGTGGGGGCATCTAGGAGACATTCTCTTGCTTCTCAATTTTATGCATAGAAAATAACAATAACCCAAATTCTGATCATAAAGAGAAGGCCTCGTTAAAAACCCTTATGTTACGTTGGCAACAAAGGGAAAAGAGTGTCACCCCAAGAAATAATATCACCAAATTATCCTTACAACGATAGAGATTACAACTCACCCAAATAAAACAAACGATAAATGAAACTACTCTAAACCAAATGAAATGAGGCTAGATATCTTAACAATACTCGTTTGACTTGCCATCATTTCTAGCATCCTTTGTGCCTACTTGTTCTAGAGTGGTCATGTCTTTACCCAAGAGATCTTTCTTCAGAGCCTTCATATTCATGTTCATGCCAACAACGTTCATGCCCACGGTCGTAACCTTCTTCAACTTCAGACTCTCCATGTAACATTTCTTGGTGATCCCATGATCTCCCTAAATAACCCTAACTCACCCATATAGGAATGGGTATTTCATGCAAAGATGTAATGTAGATAGGGCGACTCCTAATTAATTAAAGTTGGGCCACCCTGTAACCATGTTATATGAGGAAGGCGCGTCAAATATTTGATACCTTATCTTAATTTTCATGGTGTTTCCTACTGACCCGAAGGTGGTCTTTAACGTTACATAACCTTTCACTTGCACTTCCTCTCTCGAAAATTGCACCAATGATCCTTGACAAGGCTTCATGTCTTCTAAGTCCATACAAATCCTTTCAAATGCATCCTAGTAGAGGATGTCTACAAATCCCCCATGATCAACGAAGACCCTTTTAATCTCTCAATCGTCACATCTCACGATGATAATCATGGGATCATCATTATGTGGATGGATGCATTTTGCATCTTTCTTGGAGAAGGTGATATCGTATTCTAGGGTTTATACTTCACCTAAATTTGAGTCAATGGAATAAGCCTCAATGGTTATGATTTGGTGGGCGTACCTTTTTCGGGAGAAAGTAGTCTCTCTGCCCTCGAAGAACCCTTTTGCAATGGTATTGAGCGTGTAGTGAAAAACTCTGTCGTCACCTCCCTTGCTTCACTCATCTCCTTTATTGGATATAAGAATTCTAGGGGAGCCTCGCCCTTGAGAATTAGATCATCCTAACCCTCGAGCGAAGTTTCCCTTAACATACTTCTTTAAGCACCCCTCATGGATCATGTGTTCTATCTCTTTCTTGAGTGGAAAACAATCCTAAGTATGATGCCCTTTGACTCTGTGAAACTTACACCAACTGTTAGGCTTGGGTCCCAAAATGTATGCTTTTGGAGCTAGTGGTTGAGAGATGTTGTGCATGTGGAGGACTTTCCATTATATCTACTCTCACCGAGTGTTCAGGGGCGTGATGCTCTAGCGAGCTTTCCACTTCGCTTGAATGATTTCTTGTCTCTGACGTGCGATGTGTATTGACCCCTTCATGATTTGTTAGCTTTAAAGATACATTTTTTTATATCTCGAGCCTTCTTTTTTATGTTTCTCTCTTTATTGCGATCCAAAATGCAGCAGAAAATTAAAATTTTTCCTTTAGTGATCTTTACGAATAAGCATGGTCAGTGATAGAAATCATTACCTCGTGTGGTGATTCAGACCTTTGATGTTGTTATCATAAACGTTGATGAATAACAACGTCTCTACTCAATCCATACGAACAGATTGCTTACGCTCACAGTACTAGATGCTTACAAACGGAAACTTTGAGTGAGAGAGTGAGACAAAATACGGCTAAGGTTTTAAGACCGAAATTTCATCAAGTGAAATATATCAACACAAGGATTCTATTTATAGACCACTTATATGGGCTGCAAGCTAAAAGCCCAATTAAGCCTACGGATATCATACTTTATGATATACCGCATATCACTTAAATGTGTGGTACCTTACCACATTCCATATTTCACTTAAGTGTATCGTACTTTACGATGTTCTACAATTCACTTAAGTGCATCGTACCTTACGGTGTTCCTTATTTACTCTATCATTCATTAACCTATCCTTATGTGTGTGACCCTGTAGGTTTTTGTGACATTGACAATTATATTAAATGACACATTTATCATAATAAACGATAAACGATATCTAGCAACACATCACTACTACCCAAGTCACGAAAATTTCATGTGATCTGACAAAATCTTTCCGTGATAATATTTATGTGTACAATTACCCTTTTCCCTTATGTCTATATTAAACACAAGGTATAGACTGTGTCACCCTTGTCCATTTCAATATTTGGCCCTTAGACATTTATCCTGTTATGCAGGATGGACAAATTTTATGTAGGTCACTCATGTACCTCAACATGCTTTGTGAAGTACCCATTAACTGTCTTTATGGTCATCCAGTTATAGATAACGTTTGATCAATAATAAAGTACTTAACTCTATATCTAGGGTCTATAGTGGTTTCAGGTCGTAGGGTGGTATACACCATTATCACCATGAGAATACCTTATGACACCTTGCATAATATTCTATGTAGTATTCTCATAGCAGGTCAATCCAGTATAAATATTACTCAAAATATCCATACCTATGTCAAGACTTGATAACTCCTTATCCATGATCCATGAGGTGTTATCCCACTTTGCAATAAAGCTCGACTACAAATATTTTAAGAATGGTGTTATTATATTTAATGAGATCTCATGATTAAGTCATACTTAACATTTCATTAAACAGACAAACTATTATAGGGATTTTATCATTTTGGAAAAGCAAACATAATAAAGAAATGCCTTTTATTATTAATAAATAATTTGATACAAGTACCAAAAGTATTGACCTCTAGGGCTTACACCAACAAAACTTACACCAACTGTTAGACTTGGGTTCTAAAATGTATGCTTTTGGAGCTAGTGGTTGAGAGTTGTTGTGCATGTGGAGGACTTTCCATTATATCTACTCTCACCGAGTGTTTAAGGGCGTGATGCTCGTAACGAGCTTTCCACTTTGCTTGAATGGTTTCTTGTCTCTGACGGGCGATGTGTGTTGCCCCTTTCGTGATTTGTTAGCTTGAAAGATACATTTTTTTATATCTCGAGCCTTTTTTTTCTATATTTCTCTCTTTTCCCTTTATGTAACATTATGGATGTGTCACTACTTCACCCAGTGACGTAGTTTGTTGTAACGCCCGTTAATTTAATTAATTATTTAATTAAATTATTTTTGGATTATTTGTTGAAAGGTTGTGAGATATTGAGAATTATTGGTATAAGTTGTTAGATTATTATTTATTAATTAATTAGTTGATTAATAATAATAGTAATGTTGGAATTAATGGAATAATTATGTCGGGCTTATGTTATTGGTTGGAAATAGTAATAGGTGGGGTATGTAAGTTAAGCCCATTAGGAGTAATAATATTATTAGATTAAGTTAAATAAAAATTAGGTTAATTGGAAAGATCAAGAAGTCTTAGAGCAGCACGTGAGAAGTTACAGAAAAGAGGAAAAGGAAAAGAGGCAAAGCTAGGTTCGATCGGAAAATTGTAGAGCGACATTCAATCCAAGGTAAAGGTGGGGTTTCGACTCTATAATGGGGTTTATGATGAACATTATGTAGGGATTTGGTTTGTATAAATTTCTACGACGTGTAATTTTGGTTGTTAAATATACTAGATTCATGTTGCTTTCATATCTGATTATTACCATGTTGTGAAATTAGTTGTTATGTTGCTATGATTATATATTGTGTTGGTCTGGAATTGGTGGTCGAGTAAAGACTGAAAATCGAAAGAACTCTGGAAAATTTAGAAAGATTAACGAAGTCTGCATGGGATTTTGGAAATCTACGTGAAACAGGCTGTGCCGAGGGGCGGAATGGCTGTGCCGAACGACACAAATTGGTGTGCAGCGAGCGGCAGGAAGGCATGCCGAGCGGCATGGCTTGGATGAAGGGTGTGTCGGGCGGCACATGGTGTGCCGAGGGGCATAAGTGAAGTCCTTTATTCTTTTTTCTTCTTTCTATGTTTCTTGCGTGCAAATTGAGTAATGACTTTTTAATGGGTTTGGCTTAAGGATTAGAAGAGAACAATTGTTAGTATAATTTCATAAATTATAGAGTAGCATAGTTACAAGAGAAGAATAATTGTTAGTATATAGATTTAAAAAATTGCCGAGTTAGATCACGACAGAGTTAAAACAATAGCAGAGATAATGATTAAGTTACAGAGTTAATAACTGGTATGGTTTTAGTTGCAGAGCTAGTAGCAAATAACAGAAACATTAGTAACTAAAATATAGTAGCAGTAGAGATTATTTAGGTAGCAAGAAAATAATAGCTTCGTTAATTTAGCAGAAAACTATTAATAAGGCTTATCAGCAGAATAATTTAGTAGAAGTATTTTAGTAGGACCGTGTTAATAACAATATTGGCATGTGTAAGTTGTTGTGTTGTTATTAATTGTTGAAGTTGCGGATGATGAATTTTGTTGTGTTGCCTCTATTGATTGGCAATTATTATGTTGTAGGCTTATGCCAATGTTGTTATATGTTACTGTTGTTTTTGTTATGTTTCATAAAGTGGTCGTATACATAGCATATCAAGTTAGAGCTGATGCTCGTTAAGTTGGCATGGATTGGCAAAATATTAAGTTGAAGGCTTATTCCTTGTTGATGACTCTATTTATTGGGAGATTTTTAAGTTAGGAGTTATGCTCCATTTGTACCACATGCATTTGCATAAAGATAAGTCGCATTTCGTGTTGCATTCTGAGTCGTTGTATGGTTGAATTAATTATGTTAAATGTTGTTAAAAAGTTGTGAAGTCATGATCTGTGTGAACTAATTATAATGTATTAATTATCATACATCCAATTATAATGTTCGATATCTCACCCCTTCTGTTTAAATGTTACCCATATGTTGGTAACGTGCAGGTAATCTAGAGTGAAGGCGGTTTACCTTCAGTAGTTCGAGTCGGTGTCATTGATCTGATACGTAACACTCAGGGGGATGAACGCTTGTGGCTTTATTGTTGTTATTATTCCAGTTGTTGAACTTTAAGTTGTTTTTTGTTGAATGCTTGTCATTTGAAGTTGTTTCAGTTGGATAAAGATGTTACATTCTTATACGTTGAACATTACGATTCCGCTGCGTGGTTATGAAAGTTGTTAGTTTTTAAAAGATTAATTTATGTTGCTATTGGTTCATCCAAGTTTAATGTGTTATGTATCTGTAATGAAAGTCATTGTTTTAAGTTGAAATTGTAGCATCCTAATTTAGTTGTTGAATTTTATAACTCTGATTTCATAATAATTTGTCGGGTAGAATTGGGGTGTTACAAGTTGGTATAAGAGTAAGTCGGTATGTCCGACCAAGTTGTCGAGTCGTAGTTTTGTCTAATAATCGAGTATTGTTGACTTGAGTTCTAACCGTTGTTTATGGTGTAGTGATAAGTTGAGATGGCTGGGAGGAATGACGCTACACTTGCTGCGGCTTTAGAAGCAATGGCACATGCTATGGAGAATCAGCTGAGTGCTGACGAGAATGTTGGATCTCATAGTTTGACGAATTTCCAAAGGGAGAATCCACCTACCTTCAAGGGTAAGTATGATCTTGACAGAGCGTTGGATTGGTTGAAAGAGATTGAGAGAATCTTTCATGTGATGGACTGCATTCCAGCGCAGAAGTTTCGATATGGTACTCACATGCAAGCAGTCGAGGATGATGACTGGTGGCTAGTGACTTCATCTCGAGGTGCACGGTAGAGAGTATCGCGACCAGCTCGATGAGAGTTGGTCTTTTGAAGATGAACTGGTAAAGAGACGGGCAGTCTATTATCAGAAATTAGGTCTTGATGGCTCTGGCCGTCACTCCTCTCCCGAAGGTGACGATTAGTTCGACGTATCCTCAGGGTTTTGTACTGGCCCCATTGAAGCCCTGGAGATATGATCCAACGTACGGGGTCAAATGGCTTTCATTCAACTGCATAATGGTGAACAGCTGGGAGTACATAATATCTACCGAGCTTCCCTGGTCGACCAAAATGCGCTGCACGTCAAAATTTGCCATGTGGGCCCTGATGAGCAGCGGGATGGTCGAGTTGGGGGACCTGCCCGACAATTCTTCCCTGTAGAAGGCGAGGGGTGAGAACCTCCTCGAAATTTGTCTCGCGTGGCATCCATGTCGGATTTGGCCTCAATCAGTTGGTCGAATCTCCTCTTGACAGATCCCACCGTGTGCCTGTTGAATCCCCCGCCAAAGATGATCATAGCGGCGAGGAATGACTCTCAGGGACTATGGGAGGAGAAGTATAAAGGAACGCCCTCCATGTCTGGGAGGTAGAAGTGTTCTGGTCACGTGACGCTCATGGCGACCGATATGACGCTCATGTAACCACACATGTGATTACTTGCTCCTGAGTCAAGATACCAAATATTGTCATTGGTGTTGATTTCGTTTTGGGCCATCAGGAGAAACCCTTCATTCGATTCAGTTTTCAGGGCCAGATTGGTTGTCTCTTCAGTCTTCTTTTCATTTCGACAGTCTTTTGCAAGATGTCCCACTTTGTCACAGTTGTAACATTGGTAGGAGTTGCAATCCTTCGCGTAATGGCCATACTTGCCACACTTGTAGCATTCGAAATTTGAATAATTCGAACGACCACCTCCTTGGCCATGTCCTCTACCACGCCAGTTTTGTTGGCTCAAACTTCCTCTTTCGAAGTTACTGCCTCTACCACTTCGACCACTGTCACGTCCTCCACGTCCACGTCCTCTTCCTCGAAAGTTGTTCGAAAAGAGTACCTTTTCATCTTTCGATTCTTTTGTTTGGTTTGCTTCTTCGTCTGCCTCTTCTTTCTTCTTCATCTTTCTTTGTTCGTGTGCTTCGAGCGAACCAGTGAGCTCTTCGATTGAGAGCGTTGAAAGGTCCTTCGATTCTTCTATTGCACACACCAGATTTTCAAACTTGTCTGTTAAAGATCTTAAGATCTTTTCAACAACTCTTGCATCAGCTACCGTCTCTCCATTTCTTGTGAGTTGATTCACCACTTTCTACACACGAGTGATGTAATTTGATACATTTTATGTATCCTTCATTTGTATCCTCTCCAATTCGCCACAAAGCGTTTGGAGTCGAACCTGCTTCACTCTATCTGCTCCTTTGAACACCTTCTCTAACGTGTCCCACGCTTGTTTCGACGTAGTCGAACTAGCAATCTTCTCAAAGCCTGATTCATCCACAGTCCTGAACAACATATATAATGCTGTTTTGTCCTTTGCTCGCGTCTCTTTCAACGCCTTCGTTTGGGCTGCTGTATATCCTCTAATTTCTGTTGGTTCTTCAAACCCATCATTGGTCACTTCCCACGCATCTAGAGATCCAAGAAGAGCTTTCATTTGGATGCTCCAGTTTTCATAGTTTGACTTCGTCAGCCGTGGTAACAGCATTTGGTTCATCATGTTCGCCATGAGCTCTGATACCAAATTGTTATAATAGGAATCAGACTTTGTATACTTTTAACTTCTTGTATATTGCTCTTAGTGAATAAATTACACACACTTGGTCTTTTGTAGACTCAAACAAACTTTTACAATTCTAAAACAGTAAATTAAAAACATAACTGCTACATAACTACAAAATAAAACTATTGCCTTTCCTACTACCATACAAATCATTTATTTCTAACCCATTTAATATTTATTTGAACCGTTTGATGGTTCGACATTTGGACAACATGTACTATATGAAGTTGAAGAATAAGCGTGGTTTATTAACTTCAGATCAAACATTGGTTGATAGTGACTTAACAAAGAGAACGGTGTTAAAAAATGACAGACATAATGCAATATGGAGAGTGAAGTTTGCAAAGGCCATGGTGCATATGGGTTCCATACAAGTCTTAACAGGTTTTCAAGGTGAGATTAGAGAGCGATGCAACGTTGTTAATTTTAATTAACTGCCTAAGATTTGTCCATAGATGTCAAGATACATCCTTTCTTTCTTTTTTCTACATCAATTCTTTGATTCTTTGAATTATTATTGTGTTATGGGTGAAGAGTACTCAATTGATAAAAGTGATGTTAATAAGAATTTGAATGTTGACATAGAAAAGAAGAAGGAAGCAAGACGCAGCTAGAGCTGTCAAATAAGCTCAATATTTAAAAGCCCTAATTATTTGACCCCATTAAAGCCCCAATATATTAAGCCCCTTATTATTGAGATTTATTTTAGGCCCTAAAATTTTAGGTCATTTACATAATGCATTTTTTAGCCCCATTGAATCGGCCTTATTTTATTTCAAAAACTAGCAAATTCTCTCGTTTTCATCTGTATACGAATACCTCATTCATCTGTTCCGTTTAGCAAAGCTTCACCGCCACCGCCACCGCCACCATCAACCCATTGCGCCGCCGTCAACATTTCTCCATCACAGAACAAAGGTACTTTTCTCTCTCCATTTCTCTTTAATCTCCAGTTTTCTTAAAATTAACTTCCAATTTTCATCTCATTTGAATTCACATGTTATAAATCTTCACGTTATAGGAATCAATAGGGTTATAATTGGATTATTTTTCATCTTATTTGAATTCACATGGGTCATCCTTTATGTTTATAATACTGCTTAATATGTGCACTCACAAACTGTTTGTGAAAATGCCTCAACAGCTTTCTTCTATAATTATGTTAGCATAGCTTGCACAATTTCTTCTATAATTAACTACTGACCGCCCCATTTCAAACTGCAATAGCAGCACATGTTACTATTTCTATTTTCTACTTGATTTTAACTTAAAAGATATGCAAATGTTCCTATGACTTTTGAATTTTGGAATAAGTGAATTTGACATGCTACCAATTGATTTGTTAGAAAAATTCAATATTCTACGTTGGTTAACGATAATGTTTTTGTTTCCTCGCAGGTTCTTTTGACATGGAAATTCTTGAGTTTTCAACTTTCATTTCGTTTGATTGTTTTGGACTCTGCTAAAGCTCGGTAAGTCTGTGATTTTACGTCCAAGTTGTTATGCACAATTGCTTTTAAATTTTGTAATTGTTGATTCTTTGAATTTACATTGATGTTCTTAATGCCTTCTATGTAGCACTAACATATTGGATTTACACGACATTGACGTAATTGTTGATTCTTTGAATTTACATTGATGTTCTTAATGCCTTCTATGTAGTCACATTCAATCACATTCATTTTCTTAAAGTTGTATCGTGTTTACTCGAAGTCGTTGATGTGTTTGGTGTCTGTTTTTGTGCTTATTACATGTTACTTTTGTTGTGTTTGTGTATTTGTCCATGTTGTGTTCTAAATTGCGGCCTGCATCTGCAATTGTGGCCGTGGCCACATTATTGTTGTTGCGGTATCCTCCGCGTTGCAGTGTGATATAAAATCACATGTGTATTTCAAACTCCTCTCAATTAGTATTCACGTCGCAACAAGCACAATGAGTTGAGACTGTATTTGAGACAGTATCAATTGCATTTGAATTGGTTTGTTTTTAATTGGCCTGTACAAAAGGGTTGTTTTTAATTTTATGACTTTTATTGGCAAGGAATGCGTGCTGTTTCAGATTTCCATAAGCATATGTTACATGAAAATTTCAAAGCATTAGCAAAGTTTAAATATTTGATAATTAATGAATATTATCTCCTATCTTAGATTGTAAAAGAAGTGTATATAAAAAATTAATATAGGTGCAGGAATGAAAACCATGATTGAATCAAAAGTGATAGAAAAATATGATCTACAAACTACATAACAAAAGTTGGATATCTTGCTCATTATGTATTGAACTACTTAATATCAGTAGACAAATTTAACTACAAACAAATAATTTGCATAAAAGTAACATCATACAAATAATATTAATGGTGGTTTTCTTAATGAAACATTGGATGAGTCAATTTAACTATTTTCCATCTCAAGCATATTTAGACGATATGTTCAGCAAGTCTCTAGGTGAATAATTTGCCTCCTCCCTTAAGTAACTATCTGAATTATAACTTCACCAATTCAAAATGGTGAACCAAGTAGATTAGGTGTGGAATTGGTATGAGAACCTTGTTGAAGAGAAAATTGTGTTATGAATGGTAAAATATTTACTATTACGTTGGATAACGCCTCTGTCAATGATAACATGCAAGACCATTTGAAAACTCATCTTCGAGTGCAAGGTAATTTGATGTGTGATGGTGAATTTTTTCATATCCGATGTTCGGCCCATGTACTCAACTTAATTGTCCAAGAGGGTTTAAAAATTGCTAGTGAAGCCCTCCATAAAATTAGAGAGAGTGTCAAGTATATTAAAGGATCAGATGGAAGGATGCTTAAGTTTAAAGATTGTTTCGAGGATGCAAGGATAAATGTTAGTGTTGATTTAAATTTGATGTATCAACCAGATGGAATAGCACTTATTTGATGCTTGAAAGTGCCTTGCAATATAGAAAAGCTTGAGTTTTTTAAGGTGGTGGATAGAAGCTATATACATTGTCCATCTGATGAGGAATGGGAATGTGGGGGAAGGATTTGTGAGTTTTTAGAACCGTTTTATGATATCACTAATTTGACTTCTGGTTCATCTTATCCAATTGCAAATCTATATTTCATGCAAGTGTGGAAAGTACAGTGTATTTTAGAAAAACATTAAAAAAGTATTGATCAGGTGATAAAGGATATGTCTGTTAAGATGAAAGAGAAATTTGACAAATATTGGAAAAAAATACAGTGTTGTCTAGCATTTGGAGCTATTCTTGATCCACGCTTGAAAGATAAATTTTTAAAGTTTTGCTACACTACGCTTGATGACTCAACCTCTAAAAGTAAGCTTGATAATGTGATGGATAAATTCAAAGAGCTTTATGAAGAGTATGTGAGTTATTCTACCAATCAAGGTGTTTCTCTTTCTCAATCATCTTATGAGCTCAACTCATTGGCTAAGTTACCTAGAGAGGGGAAAGCAAAAAAATCAAAGATTATACGTGTAAGTTTTTTTTATTTCATCCCAACTCCTCCTGTTTTTATATTTACTTGTTTGAAAACTATAGGTTTTTTTATATTAATTGTTAGATAAGATATTATCATGTGTTTGGAGTATTTGTTTGGCCATGTTGGCTGAAGATAGAAAACTACGCTTGACCATGTTTGAGTTGTTTTTCGTGCATTTTTGAAAGTAGAAAATAGAGAGTGAGAGCTAATAGAAATAGAAGGATCATACCACTTAGTAAAAACTCGATCTATGAAAGTTACCTAGACTTTACTAGTTTATTTTTGGAGTATTTAGAACATTCTTGTAATATTTGCTGGATTTAGTTTTATGATAATTCAATGATACCAGAAGCAATTCAATGATAATTATTTAAGTTCCTACCATGCAATGAAAAATGTAGGGAAAACAGTTATCAAAATGTTGTGGTTTTAAAATCTTGTGCCTGACTGCAACTTTTATTTGAAAGTGTAAGTTGTCACTTTTCCTTCTTGGACAAGTCTGATTTTGTAAGTTGTCACTTTTCCTTAGTATAGGAAGTCTCCATTGAGGAGAAGATTCATTGATTTGGTACTTTCCGCGCGAGGCTGTTTTTTCTTGGTTTCTGGTTGCTTTACTATTTCCTATCATCACATGTACAGATCAAATGTAAGATATCTTTTCATAAAGAATTGTGTTTTTAATTCTAATATTTTACCCGTGTCCCTTTCTATAGATTTTTCATTTCATTTGTGTATCATCAAATGAAAGCATAGATGCTTGAACTGCTGGTTTGAATTTCTTGTTGATCTCTACGAGAACGATTTCTTGCTATCGAAGTATCACATAAAGTCTTGTAGTTGCGTACCATCTTGTAAATTTGTGTTGTTGGATTTTGAGGTTGTTTGATTTGTTTGTACTACAAGTTTGATTCTCGGCATGATTTTTGTTGTTGCTGATTTCATGCATTAGTGATGTGGTCACTGCTAAATGACTATAATATTCAGTTTTGTTAACAACTATGCTAGAAGTTGAAATTCACTGTTGATTTTTAGCACATACGCACTTACTTAGAGTATTTGTTTGGCCATGTTGGGTGAAGAGACAACTATGGTGGTTACTTGGCCTAACTTTAGACTCATGAGTGGACCATGAATTTTAGATAGTTGGTTCATGTTTGAGTTGTTTTTAGTGCATTTTGAAACTATGTTTTGATCATATGTTTTGATCTTATGTTTTGTGTGATTTCAGAATTCACTACTAGAGCCAAATAATTCTTTATGTCAGCAGTCTGCACTAGTCTCAAACTATCTGAACCATCTTTGTAATTTTAAGCTTAGTAATCTGCATTAATTCATCACAAAAAACTCCATCTTTTTACATAAGTGCAAGCTTTCATATTCATGAATTACCTCTTGTGCTTTATTGAGAGTATGTTTGTATATACATTGATTTATATGTATATATATCTTGCAGGATTTTAAATCATGGAACTCGATTGAGAGTAGGTTTGTCCCTGAAAAGAGTGAGTTAGATATATACTTTGACGATGAATTAATGGATCTAGATGAAGAACACTCTGAAGATTTTGATGTACTTATTTATTGGAAGTTTAATGAGAAAAAGTTTCCGATACTCTCCATAATGGCACGATTCTCTCCATAATGGCACGTGATGTGTTTAGCATTCCTATCACGACTGTAGCATTCGAGTCTAATTTTAATATCGGTGGACGTGTTCTTACCAAATATAAAAGTTCTACTCTTCCGGAACACATCCAAATGTTGATTTGTACTCGGAGCTGGTTGTGCATGGATTTTCTAAAAATATGGATGTAATAATACTGTATTTTATTTATTTTTATTTGTTCATGTTTATGATATATTCATGTCATTAATTTGTTGCATCTGCACCTAAGTATGATTTATTGTGTTTTTTAGATGAGGAAGATATCAACACTAAGGATGAATGCAATACTGAGGTGACAATGACTCAACATACATTTGGATTGCAAGATTGAAGTGGAGAACTAATTTCAGTACCATATACTTTATTGTGATTGTTGAATTGATTTTTTCATGTCTTTTTGGATGGATTAGTGTCTTTGTTTCTGTGATATTTGACTTATGTTTGTATTAATTTTCTTCAATTTCGAATATCGAATGTTAGAAGTATTGACATATGAATCATCCTATTCAAAGCAAAATATTGTTGCTTGTATTTGAAGAAAGAATATAAAATCCTACTCAAATATATATATATATATATATATATATATATATATATATATATATATATATATATATATATATATATATATATATATATATATATATATATATATATATATATATATATATATATATATATATATATATATATATATATATATATATATATATATATATATATATATATATATATATAATATATATATATATATATATATATTATATATATATATATATATATATATATATATATATATATATATATATATATATATATATATATATATATATATATATATATATATATATATATATATATATATATATATATATATATATATATATATATATATATATATATATATATATATATATATATATATATAGTATATATATATATATATATATATATATATATATATATATATATATATATATATATATATATATATATATATATATATATATATATATATATATATATATATATATATATATATATATATATATATATATATATATATATATATATATATATATATATATAGATATATATATATATATATATATATATATATATATATATATATATATATATATATATATATATATAGTATATATATATATATATATATATATATATATATATATATATATATATATATATATATATAATATATATATATATATATATATATATATATATATATATATATATATATATATATATATATATATATATATATATATATATATATATATATATATATAATATATATATATATATATATATATATATATATATATATATATATATATATATATATATATATATATATATATATATATATATATATATATATATATATATATATATATATATATATATATATATATAATATATATATATATATATATATATATATATATATATATATATATATATATATATATATATATATATATAATATATATATATATATATATATATATATATATATATATATATATATATATATATATATATATATATATATATATATATATATATATATATATATATATATATATATATATATATATATATATATATATATATATATATATATATATATATATATATATATATATATATATATATATATATATATATATATATATATATATATATATATATATATATATATATAATATATATATATATATATATATATATATATATA